CATGATAATAACATTGAGAGAGTGGTAGAGATGGGGAAAAGTGTATGAAGTCAATGGCTTTTGTTGTAAGGGCGGCGGTAAAAGTTTCCACCTTACAATTTATTATCAAAATCATTAATAATATTATGAAATTTTTTCTCCCACCGGTGGGTTTTCACAGAATTTAAAAAATCATTATCATCAACCTGAGAAGTGAAAATGAGAAAACTTTTTCCCTCTCTAAGTTCAAAATGTTCAGATGAATTAATCAGTTTCAATGGAGATAAAAGAAAAATTTTTAATCCAAAGATTGAAATAATTTCAATTTCATTCCAATTCTGAAGATATGTTTTCATGGATTTAATCATAATTATCATGATGATTATGATAAGATAAAAATCAAAGAGTGGGAGTGAAAAAAAATGTAAAAACATGACACGAATCATTGACCTATGGGAGTTGGTCAGGTCCAGGGATCATCATGTTGATCACTGGACAGAACTGAACTTTTCTCTCTCTCTCTCTCTCTCTCTCTCTCTCTGCCATTGGAGCAAAACTGAGAGTGGGATGAATGGTGGATACAAATTGTAGCTAAAAATAAGGTTATCATCATGTTATCAATATTATCATGAGTATCATTTGTATTCAAGTCATGGGAGAAAATAATAATCATCATGATAAAATAGTGATTTCATAATTCAGAATCAATGTGAAACTTTTGTCCATTTTAACTGGATAATATCATTACCATCAAGTTTAATATTATTATTGTCAAAAGTTTGATTCTCATTAATTCATGAATATAATAATCAACCTTTAATTGAGATTTAAGTTACATGAAAACTTGAAATTTACTGTGACACTGATTTCATGATGACAATGAATGATAAACAATATTCAGTGACTATGATCATGATAATTGTCAACATTAATTGTAATTTAAATTGATGGAGATAAATTTAAATAAGTGATGAAAAGTTTTGAAATTTCTCCTCTCTCTCTTAATCAAAATGATTCCATGGGAGTGGTAATCATTCATGATGATGACCACAAACTAGCCAATAGAATCCAACTTAATTATCACAAGTTAATCTTGATGATTATCTTCATCATCATCTTTTCATAATCTTTTCAATATTTTTCCATGATCACACTGGAAAGATGATATTTATCTTTTCATCATCATCTTGAAAATACCTTCTTGTTATCATTATATTCATCATCTTCATCTTCATCATCCTTCAACAAGCCAACAATTTAAGCTCATATACTCATTCAACTGAATACAAAAGGCTACATACACAAACACATACATAAAAAAATAAAGGATGAAGATGAAAAGATGATGATAAAAAAGAAAGACTTTTTTTTCACTTTTATTATCATCCCGATTCCTCTCTCTCTCTCCCATCACCTTTCATTTTATCCTCAGAAGGGATTTCTATTCACAAGTGGACAAGATTACTGAACGATAAGAATCCTTAATCTGGATCAGAATATAAAAAGCTTTGAGATCCAAAAAGGTAAGAAGGTAAGAGAGAGAGAGAGAGAGAGAGAGAGAGAGAGAGAGAGATCTTTCAATGTGTATCTTTTTATTACTTTATTTGTTTACTATTCAGTTCAATCATGAGATTCAGGGAGTTTCAAGGTGGAATATAAAATAACTCGATGAAATAAAAGCTTTAGAATACAAATAAAAAAATTCGAGAGAGAGAGAGAGAGAGTTCCAAATAAAACTTTTCTATCAATTTCATCCTCATCCTTTTACTATCCTCAAGAATCAAGAAAAAAAGTGGACACAATGAATTCACCTTTACATGAGAAAGAGTAAGAAAAAAATAAAAAGGTTCAGTTTTCATGATGATTCAATATCAATCCATCAACATGGACAATCAAATGGAGACTAGCAAAATGTAAGACTGACCATTAACAATCAAAGACAAAGATAAATCAACAGTTTAACCGTTAATTCAGTGCTAATGCATTTGGATTAACAATTTAATGATGATGATGGAAAAATATGTTTTTTGTCAAAAAGCTGATCGACAAATGGACCAGGTAAAGATAATCTAATTTCCCATGTAAACAAATTGAGACTAAAAAAAGATGAGGATCATTTTAACCATCATGATGAACTCAACGGCCTCAAGTGACCCATTTCATGAGAAACGGCAATTGACCTTTAGGGAGTAATTAGAGGTTAAAGTCATGGTGAGAGGAGGCAAAAAAAGGTGAGAAACAAATCAAAGGTTAATAATTTACCATCTCAACATCAATTGTAATCTAAACTGATTGTAATCAATGATTAACTGTAACAATTTAAAGTAAATGAGAGAGAGAGAGAGAGTCAGAGGGAGGGAGAGGTTATTATTAGTATTACAAATATGTAACCATTAAAATTTGATAACAAATTATAATTGATGGATTTTTAATTGAACTTAATTTACTACTATCAAGATTAATAATAATAAGGATATTATCAATTTCATTTGGATACACAAATTATCATGCTAATCAAATGTACTCCAGGGATATAAAGATGATGAAGGTGGGGAGTGGGGTTCAAGAGCGGGTGGAGGGTGAGGTGGATAAGGAAATGATCAAATATTAAACTGTAATCAAGTTGATCGCATTGTTGATCAGTATTTAAACAGTGATTACTTCATGATTTCTATGGGATTTTGATCAATGGTTAAGATAGAAATCAAATATTACATGTAGACACACACATTTGATTGTCTAATATACAAAACTAATCTAGATTCTGATTTTGATTGTGAGGAGAGAGAGAGATTTTTTTTACTTCCAGAGGTAAAATATTATATATGTACTAATAGTAAATGATACAAACATTAACATGATGAAAATATATTACAAGCGACTGGATTGATTCCCATGGTATTATTAGATAGTCAATATAAATGGATATGTTTTTCCATAGGTTTGTTTATCATTGGAACATTTTTTCCTCTCTCTCTCTTCCACTTCTTTGCATAGATAAATAAAAGTGATAATATCATGAATAAGATGGGGATAAGGATGAGAATGAGGATGATGTCTGTGTATCGATTATTTACATTTATCATCGTCATTATTATCTTCATCATCTCTGTCTCTCTGTTTGCTGGGTAAGAGGTAAATTTTCGACTGAGAATTTGAAATTTTCATCTTTTTGTCTAATTTTTTATGTAAGATTTTGTTTAGGAATTCATCAGATTGATCACATGGGAGTGAGATTATCATCTTGATGATTCTGAGATGTTAAAGATGAACACATTTATATATGTATGTTAAAAGTGTGAAGATCATTTTGTGTTAAAAGGAAAGGGAAAAAACTTTTAATCTGAATACAAGTTCTGAGTGAATCTGAGAGATGAAAAGATAACTCAGAATGTAATGGAAACATTGGAAAGTACAATAAGTGATGAGAAAAAAGAAGATGCTGAAGATGATAAGCTAAAAGAGAGAGAGAAATGACAAGAAAAGTGAAATGTTGTTCATCGGTGATGAGGATGCTCTTGGTGGTAGAATGAACAAGGTCAGTGGGAAACAAGAGTTGGAAATCATATTGGAAGATGAGGCGAATATTAATCGATAGATGATAATGTAAAGAGAGAGAGAGAGAGATGAAGATGATGATGGAAATGGTAAAAAATCATCGAATAAAAAATTAAGATGAGAAAATATGAAGATGCCTTGAAGGAACAAGGAAAAAGCTATTGGATAGAAAGTATAACAAAGAGAGAGAGAGAAGATAATGATGATAGACATTACAATGGAAGATAAATGCATATGTGAGAATGGAAAAGGTTTGAAATGAAAAAGGCGCCAAAAAGAAAAGTCATCAAAATGAAAAAACAAGAGAAAAGTAATAATTCGTATCGATCGTTAAATTTGATTGTTCTGATGGAGATAAAGATGAGGATGCTTTTTGTACGTGTGTCTATGTAACTTGTCAATTGAATAACAATGTAACAGTAAAGGAGAAGAGAAAAAAATTGATAATATAATTTAAAATTCTGTCAACCATAAGAACCATCATCATGTAAGATATTTACATTGATTCAATTGTTTGATTGAATTGACAGATGAACAATTGTACCAACTGAATGTTAATCTGTTGTAATCAAATAAATTTTGATACATAATCATAATTGTCGATGAGGATGAAAAATTTCAATCAATTGGGAATTTAATTTGACGGGATAATTATATTATCACTCTGTGGGATTATCACAATCAAATGATTCTGATAATAATTGATAATCAATTTAAATGACATTTTAGTTATCAAATAATGTGACATTTAAATTGTAGCTCAAGATCAAATAAATTGTATTGATAATAAAATGCATATTATGTACATGAATAGTTAATCATAAACAATCAAAATTTTAGTTGATTGGATGAGTTAATTGTTAGTTTTCTTGTTACTGTAATCAACAGATTAAAGGTTGATCAGGATTTTGGTTGAAGTTTATTATTATTAAAAAGGAGAGAGATTGATTAACAATTATTAATAACTGATCATTAGGATGAGGATGTAATCAATTTAATCACGAGTTTAATATCAATCAGGATTATCAAAAAAAAGGTAATCCAGTTGAGTTATGTTACTTTATTAACCAGATAAAAGGTTAGTCTTCATCATCTTCATCCTCTTCATGTTAGTTTATCAGGCTTGTTGAAAGATAAACAAAAGATGAGGATGAGGATGAGGATGAGGAGGATGAGCATCTTCAATTTGATCCTCATCATCAATTTATTTTGATCCTTTTTTTGTTGATGAAATGAAACAAATGAGATTTGCAAATTTATGGTTCATTGATTTAATTTGGTTGCTACAATTTGAAGACAATTGATTGCGATTTGGTTTGATTGTTGTTGTTGTTGTTTAACTGTTGATTGTTTGTTGAAACTGGTTAGTTGATTGTTGTTCATGTAACAATTAATCAGTTTTCTCATTTGATTGCGTGTGTCAAGGTAATCAGAGGATTTTAATTGTAATCAAATCAACTTACCTGCAACTGGTGATAATCTGGTTACAATTGCCCATCGAGGTCTCCACTGTTTGTATTATAACAATTAAGGAGAGAAGGGAAAATTAATTAATTTGATTCAACAATTAAAAGCTTCTTTTGATTAATTACCTTACGAGTTCCTCTAAATTTAAGATCACCTTCAATGACAATCTTTGGATCCATAATTTTTTTTCAGTGATATAATTGATTGTAACAATTAAAAATTAACAACAATTAATAAATACACACACACACACACAAGATTATCAATAAACACTTTAATTTTTCAGCTAATTGTTGATAATTAACAGTTAATGATGAGTAAACATTATGATGATGGTTATGTATTAGTTTTTTTGTCAAATTAATTGACCTTAGGTCAGTTGCTTGTTGAAGATACAATTTAAATCCCAAATGGTTAATACAAATAGTATTTATATAAAATCACATGGACACAATTAAAATTTGATTACTGTCAATGTTGATTTTAATCCTTTGAGCAAACTAATTAGGCAAATATCAAGTCAGATTAGGAAAATTGGTTTAATTGTGACAATTAATTCACATTGAAGGGAATTACTTGATCCACAATGTGCTCCTTGTGAAGGTTAAAGTTACACTGAAGGAAAATAAAATCGACAAGAAATAAAAATTAACAGAGAAAATCAGATGGCGCTGTTAACCGTTATTCTTATTGTAATGTTAATTTTTTGAGAACCGAAATTAGAATTGATTTAATTGTGAAGGAGAAAACTCAACAATTAAAGTTACTCTCAACCATTGGAACGGGAAACTGGCCAACTAATTGATTCGTGATTGTTAAACTTTTGTTTTCTTCATCTTGGTTGTTTAGAACCGATTAGAACTTTTTTTTTTGCTCCCTAATCCATTTGATTGATTTTGTGATGATCGAAACAATTTGATGATTCAAACTTTTCAGTTGTCAAATTAGTTAATTGTTGTTAGTTCATCTCTTTTTCTCACTGGTATTAATTACAATTAAAACAATTTGTTATTGATTGTTGTTGATTAAAGATCAAAGTGTCGTCATCTATGATCATCGAATTGACTTTTATTTAATTGTTACAATTAAATCTAGATGGCAGATAATTTTTCTTAATTTTTGTTCATTTAATTAAATTGTTCCTGTTATTCAACAAAACAAAAATTAACCTAATTGCAACAATTAAATTTAATCTTTTGACTGGAAATTTTCCCTCTCACTGGTTACCTTGATTGTTTGAGAAATTAAATTAATCACTTAATTAAAAATTATATAAGCGTAACCGTGAAAATTGATTTAAAAGTGGATAATAATGATGATTAAGATAATCTTTTAATCCTATTAATTAGCAGATTCCAGGAAATTAGGTCAATCATTTGTTTATGTTCTCATTTGTTTATGTTCTCATTGACGAAAAAAACATTCAAAACAATAAATTTCACATGGAAATGAACGTAAATCAAGTTGATTATCACCGATAAGATTGAATCGACAAATAAATGAATCAATTAACACATTTGAAGCTGTTAAATTAGCGATATTGAGACAATTAGAAACACTCAATGAACTAATTATCGATTTTGACAAGTCTGATCGTTCATTTGATCAAAAATTTCGGCTCCTAATCAATGAATCTACAAGACAATTGAACGAATCTCTCATTTTATTCACGAATTCATGAATTATTTTCATCTTTTCCCATGAATTTTAATGGAAAACCAAATGGACTGGATTTCCGGTCCATACAAAAGTCGAAACTTTCAACTCGAAACAAAACTTTTCTAATGTATTTTTCCTCCAAAATTTCATTCCCAATAACAAATTTCGAAAGCTCATCACATCCAACCTTCCCTCAAGCAGTCACAAGTTTGATAACATAATCAGATAGTCAATTAGTTTAACAAAAATCTATTAACAATTAAATCAAAAAAAAAATTAACCGAAATTGAGATGATCATCAGCGCCATCTGTTGTTCTTAAAAAATGAAAATCTATTCTCACCAAAAGTGACCGATGAATAGATTGATTCAATTCTTGAATTTCAATTGTTATTATTTTGGTCTAATGATACAAGTTAATTTTGTGATTTAATTGTAGTTTGATTAATTAAAGAAATTTTATATTGATAATCTATTGATCTAATCCATGGAAAGTAAAGCTCAGGTTTCTGTAAATCAGGCAAGAAGATTATTGAGACAAGGTTACCCAATGAGCTTTTTCAACTGTCTACCACAAGTAAGTTGGTGTTTAATTAATTGTAATCACTTTTTGTTCCGGATAATTTGTTTTAATTAACCGAAACATTTAAAAAATAATTGTCGTTGTCTTATTCTCACTCAGTTTTATCGTTTATTTTCATTCATTTCATTTGTTTTCTTTGTTCTTCTTTTGTGTCTTCCACCAGGTAACCGCCTATGGTCAATGCATATCAAGCCAAGAATTGACAGATATCAAGAGAAATGATTGTTCGAACCAATTTAATCAACTAAAACAGTGTTTCTCAACTCAATTGAAACAATTTAAATCAAAGAAATAATTGTAAAAGATTACGTGATAATAATATTTATTGTTAGTAATATATTCTAAGTGAATTTCGATTTTCCTTTGTCTTAATTGGCCTTCTTTGTGTTTACACTTTTCTCTCTCAGTTTTTCCTTTCTCTTTCTCTCTCTTTCTTGATATTCTTTTAGAAAATTTGTTCTCTTTCATCTCTATTGTTCCATTTGAAGTTGACCTTTTATTTACCAAACAAGAATGATGGAATCATCTTCTAGAAGTGATTCCGAAGAGGATGAAACTAGTGCTCCTTTTAGTGATTACGAGAATCCAAATTACCGTAAATTATATGCCTCCCTTTCTGTTACTGCCATGATGGGATCTAAAGTTAAATCATCTAAAATTGAACCTAAAACTGATTCTGATGATCTTGAGGATGATGATGGTATCGATGAGACAACCAAATTAACTGATGATTGTAATGAACAGATTAAACTACCCGAAGGTTGGGAGAAACATGAAGATGACAATGGTCCATATTATTGGCATATACCAAGGTAAGAAATTGGAGTTTACATGTAATTACTTAGAAATTGAACTAATTAGATCTTCCTAATTGTCAACAGTGGTACCATTCAAAGGCAAGTGCCTACAACCAGTTTATCCAAACGAGACTCATTGTTTTACTTTGATGATGATGGACTGGATCAGTTACGGGAACAAATTTCAAATGGAAAAATATTAGATGATAAATTTCCAGGAGATGGTGATGTTTTTACTGTTCATTCATTAGGTTGGATGGAATTTGATGAATCTTGTTTAACTCCTGAACTCAGTTCGAAAGCAATTAAACGATGTATCCTTGAACTTTCAACCCAAACCGAAAATGCTGTTAAATGTTGGGGTAAAGAGGATACCAAACAATTAACCCTTAAAATAGCAAATAGTTGTTTACAGTTACTTGATCCATCAAGCTCGAAAGTGTTAACAATTCAACCGATTGCAAATATAAGAGTTTGGGGTGTAAATGATGTCGATGATTTTGCCTATGTTGCCAGAGATCCGGAAGGATATGGAGCAAGAGGTGGAAAAGGAGAAAGTGGTTGTTATGGTGGTCGAGAAGAGTATAATGAGACACTCTCTCCGGTCAGTTCTCCAACTCCCGTTTCAACAACACCGATATTAAAATGTCACGTTTTCCATTGTGAAAGTTTGATCGAAGGTGAAAACTCAGCTCAAAAGATTGCTAATCTTTTAAAAGAGGAAATGATCAGGATTAAATCACATCAATCATTATCATCATCGACAACAACAACAACAACTGAAAGGAAAGGAGAAACGGACGATGAACCTTCAGAAGCAGCGATTCGACCATCACATTTATCAATCGATGAATACACTGGTTCACCAATGGATTCACCATATTTAGAGTTTCCAACGCCAATCGAGGAGCCAAAGAAGACAATTGTTGCCCGATATTTAGGAAAAACACCAGTTCCAAAGCCGATGGGTGTTGATATTCTGAACGAAGCAATTGAAAGAATCATTTTCGACCTTGATCGAGCTTATCCTCCACAACCAAAGGCCACTGATGAATCAGATAGCGTTGAGAAATCCGGAAGAGGAATTGTTTCTCTTGTTCACATTTCTCCCTCCACAATAACCGTTGAATCGACAATCGATCGGAAAATATTAGTCGAATGTCGAGTTCGCTATTTATCATTTCTTGGAATATCTAAAAACACCGTTGAAAATTGTGGTTTCATCCTACAAGTTGATGAGAATCTATTTGAGGCTCATTGTTTTGAATGCGAACCCTCATCGGGTGCTCTTTGTAAGACAATTGAAGCAGCATGTAAACTTAGATTCCAAAAGTGTTTAGATGCTCATAAACAGCGATGTAACAATTCAATTTACAACAATGTTAATCAACAATCTAAATCACAATCACCAAACGGTAATTCATCATCGACATTGAAACCATCTCAATCAATGGGTGCCATTAAAAACACATTAATTAACACCTTCTCCAAATTGTTATACAAAAGATGAAACAAGAAAACCACTTAAATAATGATCAACAATTAATATCATCGATTCTTTTGTCAACAATTACATTTAATCAATATTGTTTTTGATTATTTTCTTCTCGATCTTAATCAATCCCACCAATGTTTTGATCTCTCTTTGCCCTTTTATGATCAATTAATTAGATCAAAGTGTGTTTATCATTTGCTAATCAATTGGCCTCGATCTTAATTCACTTTTCACCACAATTAAAATAACAAAATTTACATTGTTATTGTAAATTTAATTACTGTTAAATCTTGATGATGATTAATAGTTTTTCAATTGCGTAACAACAATTAACTGTTTCAATCAAACGAGAATAATTAACCAACTAAATTAAGCGGATGATTAGTTGGGAATATTTTATTTCCATGATAACTTTTTTATCTTGTAAACAATTAGTTTAATTGTTAGAGATAATTTGAGTAATCAAACTTAAATTGTTTGATTTTTATTTCATATCAACTAATATTTGATCAAGATCATTATATTATCTTTACAATTAACTTTTCCACTTTACAATTAATCAATTCTTATTGATTAAAATTAAACTTGCAACTAATATAATCATAAAGTGATAACAATTAAAATTTATTGTCTTATTACATTGATCAATCAACTAATTGTGTTGATTATTTTAATTGTTTCAAATTTTTAAAAGAGACAAAAAATTTTAACCAAATTAAATTAAACTTTGAACAAATTGAAGGTTACAATTAAAAGTTAATAACGTTGATTGTTTAATTGTGATAGCAAATAGATGATCAAATAACTATCCTAATTATTGATTACATCATTAATTATAATTAAAATTAACCAAATTAACCAATAAATTAAACGCCTTCAGAAAAAATAATCAAAACTTGAAGAAAAATTTAAATTAATCTTCAACAATCAAGTTAATTGCTAACTAATCATTTCACTTTCAACGTAAGCAAATCGCGTAAATAAAAATGCAAACAAACAGAAAACATTACAAACACAATTAACTAATCAATTCTATTGATTGGTGACTATTTGATTGATACTTTTAACAATTAACTTTTATCAACAACAATCAACGAGGTGAAGTGAAAAAAAATTATCCCAAATCTGATTAACCTTTTTTTTTCATTTAACAATCAATTTAGATGGTAAACAATCAACATATATGATAGATTTTAATTGAGATCATTCAATCAATAGATTGACCTAAATTCAATTAAACATATTTAATAATCATCAATGATTAGGTTGATATTGTTTAACGATAATAATTAAATAATATCAACAATTAAATCAATAATAACAATCAATTTGCAATTAGAAAGTATTTAAAAAGAAAAGGTTAAATTAAAATGATGAATGTTAAAAAAAAGAGACAAAGTTGTTTACAATCAAGTTAATCATCAAAATTAACTAATCAATATCAAGGTTACAATTGAAAGTAAAATTAACTACTATTAACAACAATTTAGTAACAATTTAATTGATCATCTCAATGAAAAGTTGTAAAAATGATCAGTTGAAATTTTCATTTGGTCGACGTGATCAAAACAACAATTGAGGTTAATCAATAATCATCTCTATCCCTGATTACAATCAATAATTAGGTTCGTTAATTAAGATTAAGGTTTGATAATTAATGTGTTAATTGTGGATTAGCAGATCAACAGAATTAGAATGGGATTAAGAAAGAGAGAGAGAGAGATTTTAACTTATTTTTTCTCATGGATTACAAATTCTGATTCAAGATTTATTTTTATCAAGATTATTGAATTGAAATGCTCAAGGTTATCACCAGAATCTGAACTTGATATTTTTATCATCTTCCTTATCTTCATTATTATTACTCACCTTTAAACGTTGAAAATGTTTTTTTCATCAAGATGAAACTTGAAAAAAGAGGCTATATAACATTATTATCATGATATTTCATGGTAAGTTCAGTGAATCAGATTTTTTTTCCTCTGAGTTAACCAGATAAAATGTTTAGTAATAGCATGAGAAGTGGAGAGAAGCTGAAAAAAAGTTCTGGAAAAATAATCGATAATTTTTGTTTCCCTCTCGAATCAATTTCTTTACGTTATTTGCTCTCTCTCTCTCTCTCTCACTCTCACTCTGTGAATTTCGTTTATTGTTGTTACTCTTGGTTGATTCAGTTGGAAAACAATTGAACAAATGAGATTGATTAACATTCATTAGTTAATGATTAGTTAATTATCATCAAGATTAAGACGGTGATCAGTTTACTATTAGTAATTTAATAATAATCTAAGACATTGGATATTGAGATTCAACAGCAACTAAACAATTGAATTTGATATTATCACAAGATTCATAGATGGCGATGGAATGAAATAAAATGACATCTGACCATTGGTCACTTTGCTCATACAAGTCTCTCACATACAGTAAATGTATATACACATTTACAGTTTATTAATCATCATCATCATCATAATAATCATCATGATTCTGATTAAATTCTTGTCACATCAAATTTAGAGTGTAACCTTACCATGGATAGAGAAAGTAGAAAAAAATTTCATCATTTCTCAGGGTGGGCTTGGTTTTCTGTGGTGGTAGTGAACGTGATCATCATGATCACCTTCAATTTCATTTCATTCAGACCATTGATACTTTATCCTAATCTTATTTTTTCACTTCCTCTCTTGTTAAATCCTTTTATTTCTGGATTAGGGATTAAAGAGATAAATAAATAGATTGAGAGAGAGAGATCGAAAGGTCATCGTCATCATCAACATTGATTCATCGCCGATAAATTGACCTTAAAATGATATGAAATGAATGGACAGTTGGAGATGATGATGACCAGTGAATCTGTTTCATTAGGTCAGTTTCATTTTGATTGTATCAAAATTTAAATATATCAAACTGACCAATTGAATGTTATCATTATTCATCCAGCTACCAAACTGACCCTTAGGGTAAAGTGTAATTTTTGACAACATTGTTATCATCTTGATGATATTCATGATTATTATTGAAGACTTAGATTGTAAAAGTAAATTAACTAATTGTCAATCTCACGAGGGAGGATTAATGAACAAAATGAAATCCCACTTGAAAGTTAATTGTAATCAAAACTGATTATCAATATGATTATGTAGGTGTGTTGATTGTATTTACTGATTGTTTAAGTTGAGAGACACACAGAATTGATTATCTTTCAGGGTTCATATAATTCATATATATATTCATTTTTCATGATAATCATTATCATGAAGAGGAAGAAAAATTATTTTTTTTATTCATCTATTTACAATGTAATTTCTGTTGATTCTTTTCATGGTGATTCCTGATTCTGATGATAATAGGTTATCATGATAACAATAACAATGTTTAACATGTTTACATTTGCCTTTAATTTATTGAATGAAAATGATGATAAAGAGTCAGAATCATCAGGAATACTCATAAATATCATGATATTTAAATACATATGTATGAGAGTATAGATAGAGATATATATATTCATCTTGATAGAGGAAACAAAAAAATTATCATCACTATGATGATGATTAAATTTATCATCATGAATATATATCTCAGGGAATCAGAGAAATCATGGATTCTGAATATAAAGTTGAGCGATATATATTATTGATTTATTGAATATAAACATTGAACACATTCAGGGAATCATATGTAACTTTGGCTGGAATGATGATAAGGATGAAAACAAAGAGAGGGGAGGAAGGTAAAGAGAGAGAGAGAGAGAGAAATGATGACGAGAAAAAATATCATGTAGTTTTGTACAGAATCGAAAAGTTCTGGACTTGAAATTGTTTGGAAATCATCATGATATTAGTTCATTGGTCTGAGATTTAAATAAGTTCATTTATGTGTATCTTTCAAATCAATATGATAATCACTCATTTGGAATTACAATTAATCAGTAATCATGATGGGTTCATGGTGGTGATGAACCTTTCATGTTGAATCGGTCAATCGATTGAGTTTCATGATAAAAAGAGCAAAAAAAAAGGATCTCTCACGATTTGAATTTGTTTTTCTCTTTTTCGTACATTCGAACCATGAAAAAAAGTTGTTCTGTTCTATGAACTTTCTGAAAGATGAAAAGCTCATGTTCAGATTCATGGTGATATATTATTAATTCTAAGAATGCTCAGTATGTTGTGAAGAAGAAAAAAAGTAAGAAAAATTATTCCAAACTAAATATAAACAAGGAAAAAGTTCATCATCATTATCACCCTGATTATCATCATGATAAAAATCAATATCAAGACAACCTTTAAACTCTGTTGCTTATGATTTTTTTTTCTTGTTACTCTCAATTTCAATTCTGAATTCAGTGTATCGGATATTTGACTCATGATTCATAGGATACATTATATTTATAAATGATTTCATCATTTAATCAGTTGATTAACATGATGATGATATTGAATTGATGATTATGATGATGAAAAAAATAATAATATAATAGTTGATTTGATGAGAAACATTTTAATGACAAGTTAATCAAGCCAACAATTCACAATCAATTGATTTTCATATGTATTTAATTTGATCTGTAAACGTGACTACAATCAAATTGTAATCAAATCAAGTTAATTTTGTTTTCATTTCTTACAATTGAAATAAAAAAAATAAACTTTTTTTTCAGGTTGCAGTTGATTAACTAATAACAATCAAATCAGTTTTCAGAATCAAAATGAATTTTTTGTTATTGAATTTCAACTGACTGTTGTTCAATTACAATCAATGTTAAATTGGTGTTTCTGATTAAATTGCTGATGTTCATTGGGTGTTGATTTGATTGTTAAGAGTAAAACTAATAATTGTTAATCAGTAGGACAATTAATTAGAGTTAAGATTAATTGTAACAATTGGTGATTAATTTTTTGATTTTTATCGGTTCAGGTAAATTTTTATTTCTCCACTTTAACTAATCATCATGATCAATTTTTTGTTTTCCCAACAATTAGTTGATTTAATTTCAATGTTGATTGTAACTGTTACAATGTGAGAATAGGCAGTTAATTGTTGACAATTGGATGAGAAAACAATTCACAATCAAATTAAATTATTTCAAGGATTTTGTTTTTCCTTTCCAACTTCAACAATCAATTTTTTTTTATTTCAACGTTCATTTTGTTATTATCATTGATTAATCATCATCATAGTCAATTGATTATAACAATTGAATGTAAATATCACACAACAATCAAGTTTTGTGAAAAAAAAGGTTTAATCATCAAGGTTAGAAATCAAATTATCTTATTTACTTGACTAGTTTAATCAAC